AGGGGTAAGACGGAAGTTTTCAATGCCCAGATCCAGACAAAGCAGAAGGAACTGGAGCCTTGGATGACCCAAGTCCGCAAAATCCAGTCCGACATCGACGTCGCCACCAATGAGAAGCAGCTGCTGGAGGACAAAGCTGCATCCGTCGGCAAAGGTGTAGACCAAGCTGTGGCGGCAGTAGACGAGCTCAAGGGCGAGCTCTCTGGCAAGCAGGAAGAGCTCCGCAAACTGAGCAAGGACAAGAAAGACTTCGAGATCGAGGCGAAAGAGGGCCGACAAAAGTTGAAGGTATTATTGTTTGTTGTAACGCTTGTGGCACTGGCTCAGCTTCCTGCAGGCAATGCAGGACGACGTGGGCAAGCTCAAGACGAAGGCAAAGACTCTCCGCGAGCGGTCAGATGAGGCTAAAGCATCGCTTTCCGCCAACCGATCCGAGGATGCTGTTCTTGAGAGCCTTACGAAGCTTCGCGACACTGGGCGCATTAAGGGCTTCCATGTAGGCTTCCCTCCTACTTGACATTACATCAATTCCTGACAACTTGATCAGGGCCGCCTCGGAAATCTCGGCACCATCCCAGACAAATATGATGTTGCGGTATCGACGGCTTGCACATCGCTGAACAATTTGGTCGTCGACAGCGTTGAGCAAGGTCAAGCATGCATCGAGTATCTCCGAAAGCACAATATCGGCCGAGCATCTATTATTGTTCTAGAGAAGCTTCCACCCAGAAATCTAGAGAAGATTGACACGCCTGAAGGCGTTCCTCGCCTGTTCGACCTGATTACTCCCAAGGATCCCAAGTTCGCCCCTGCTTTCTACAAGGGCCTGTTCAACACCCTCGTCGCCGATAATATGGAACAAGCCAATCGTATTGCTTTCGGTGCGAAACGGTGGCGTGTGGTCACTCTGGCTGGCCAGCTCATCGATACGTCCGGGACGATGTCTGGAGGTGGGAATCGTGTTGCGAAGGGCGGAATGAGCTCGAGGTTCGCTGCTGATCGTGTCGAACCCAATGTTGTTGCACGGTACGAGAAGGAGACGTCGGACGCCGAAGAGCATGCACAAAAGACCCAAGTGGAGCTTCGGGAGGCCGAGGTCCAACTTGAGATTGTGGAGAAGAACATTCCCAAGGTCGACATGTCAATCTCTAAGATCCAGTTGGATATCAAAGGGCTGCAGGCGCGGCTAGATGAAGCGCAGACGCGGGCCAAGGAGCTTCAGTAAGTGAGATCGCAATCATGCCAGCCTTGCCTCATGTCCGTGGAGATCGCAGAGCAAACCTGACGTCAATGACGCCAAGAGAATCAAAGCTCTCGAAGCTGAGATTGCGGCTCACACCAAGGAGCTGGAAAAGGTCAAGAAGAGGACCGATGCGATCGAATCTGATATTCGTGATCTGCAAGAGAAGATCCTTGAAGTGGGAGGCGTCCGACTACGTTCACAACAATCGAAGGTCGATGGCATCAAGCAACTCATCGACTTAGCCAACGAGCGCCTCAACAAAGCTGAAGTTACCCAGGCGAAGGCTGCCAAAGATGTTGAGAAATTGACGAAGTCCATGGAAACGCACTCCAAGCATCTGCAGGATGTGCAAGCGGAGGTTGAAGTCCTCGAGGCTGACTACGCTACCTCAGCGGCAGACCTTCAGGTCATTCGGGAGAATGTCGCCAACGCAGAAGCTGCTCTCGAGACTGCCAAGGATCAGCTTGAAGATATGAAAACAGATCTAGACGAGAAGACAGCATTCATCAAACAATTCCGAGCATTAGAAGTGAGGATTTCGTCAGGTCTTGAGGGTTTTTCACTGATGCACCGCAGATGGAGCTGAAACAGAAGCTCGATGAGGCTGGGAAGTCAATGGAGGACTCGAAGCGCAAGCTTGAACATTGGAGGGCCAAACACGATGAGCTTCGGCTTGAATATGTCGAGTATGTGAATCAACCACGCGGATCGTTCCCATGCTCAATCGTACTATCAGTGATGATGACGAAGAGGAGACCGAAGCCGTACAAGGTGAAAGCAACTCGGCGGATGCCGAAGCAGACGCCGAGGCCGGTGCCACTCTTGAGGCCGGTGAGGAAGCTGGTGATGAAGAAGCGAAGGAAGCTGCCAAACCTGTGAAGAAGGAGAAGGGGCAGCGGCACCCTAAAGATGAGATTCCTGTCTACACAGATGATGAGCTCGATGGCTTGAATCGGGATCAACTTGTCGGCCGAGTTTCCCTGTTGGAAGGTGAGCGTTTCGACCAGTGGCTTGGACAGCTCTTAACAATGCGCAGAACGAGTGGGCAATCCACCAAACATGAATGTTCTGGTAGAATACCGCAAGCGGGAGGCTAACTTCCTGGAACGCGCTCAGGATCTGGAGCGAGTAACAGCTCTCCGAGACGCTGAAAAGCAAAGACATGATGACTTCCGCAAGATGCGCTTGGAGGAATTCATGACTGGTTTCAGCATCATCACTTCAAAGCTGAAAGAGATGTATCAGGTACGCCTGCACCTTTTATTTCCATTTCTGCATGCTCATCCTGAACAGATGATCACCCTGGGAGGCAACGCCGAATTGGAGCTCGTTGACAGCATGGATCCGTTCTCTGAAGGCATCAATTTCAGTGTCATGCCACCGAAGAAGAGTTGGAAGAACATTTCGAATCTGTCTGGTGGCGAGAAGACACTGAGTTCACTTGCCCTCGTGTTTGCCCTTCACGTGTTCAAGCCAACACCATTGTACTTCATGGACGAGATCGATGCCGCTCTGGACTTCAGGAATGTTTCCATCATCGCAAACTACATCAAAGACCGGACCAAGAACGCCCAATTCATCATCATCTCCTTGCGTAACGACATGTTTGAGTTGAGTCATCGCCTCATTGGGATATATAAGACTGGAAATGCAACAAGTAAGCTGCACCTTCTGCAGAGTTAGGGACGGGTTACTGACACGCATCTGCAGAGAGTATCGCTATCAACAACCATGCTCTGGTGGCGGCAGCATGAAACAGAAGAAGATTGTTCCTCTCCTTGATATGCACTGTTTGGGTCATTTTGTATTTTATGACAATTTTCTTGATGATGACTACTGCGTCATCCACCAGATCTCGTGGGGCACGTGGGTTGTTGTATTCCCACCAGAACCCTTAGCGCCCGTGGCGTGGTAGCTCAGCTATTCTTAGGCAAAAACAGTCAGACCCTCATCACGTCGTCCACGGCGCCTGGGGACGACGATTGACGGTTACACATCACTTTCTCTGTCGTCCCTAACCGTTCAGAATGCCCAAGTCGCCCAGCCCGGTGAAAGTTATTCCTGGCATACCCAGCTCGACATGGGTTCAGCCTGAGGAAGTGCTGAAGGACATGCATGGGCCGTATCGCGACCGCATCACATCGTTCGTAGCGACCTTGCCGTGGGAAAAGATTGAGCAGCTCGCAACTTCGTACCGCGATCTAGCTGTCTTATGCACCGTCAACCGCGAAAGATACACTTGGGGCGTGTTCAGCCTGGTTCTAGGTACGTTTCACTTGGGGGAGCAGATAACTATGTGAGACTTGAATATCTTTTGCAGAGCTGATTTTCGACGACGGCGTGCCGTGGGTTATTCGGCTTCGCATGCCTCCTGGCTCCATCCTCTGGCTTGAGAATCGTGGTCGGTTCGAAGAGCAAGTCCTGGTCAGCGAGCACGCTACGATGCAGCTCGTCAAGGAACGCACATCGATTCCCGTGCCTGCGCTAATCGCCTGGTCCTCAACGTCCGACAACCCCATCGGCATCCCGTTCGTCATTCAAGAAGCCATTGTGGGTTACCGGCCTTGGCAAGTGGGAGTCGCCTTTGACGACAAGATCGACATGGAAAATGAGAAGTTCCGCCGCTACATACGGCAGATTGCGGACTTCCACCTGCAGCTCAGCCAGATTCGGTTCAAGCAGGTCGGCTCCGTCCTCTTGGACGGCAAAGGCGGATACACGATCGGGCCCGTCGCACAGTGGCAGCGTGGTCCGTACACCTCTGGATTGGCGTATTACAGCTATCTTGCCAGCAGGATGGCGAAAATTGTGTCAATGGGCGATCCGCCCAAAACGCCCAAGGAGCGCCAGGACCGACTGAAGAGATACTTCGGGGCGTGGCTGTATCGGACCGCCATCGTGCACGTGGCAAACTCGGACGATGGAAGGGGACCGTTTCCTCTGGCCCATAACGACTTGCATATGGGAAATACGATCGTGGATGAGGTGAGCAGGCTAGCAAGTCCAGCTGGTTTTGTGTATTCACACTTCACTCAGGATGGAAACATATTGGCCGTTCTCGACTGGGATCACGCTCATACGGTGCCGGTTGAACGATTCTCGTCACCCTCGGCAGCCTTTGGAGCATTGCCGTACACGTATCAGCCAGTGACTGCACAGCGTGCCAAGCTGTTCCACGAGTCCCTGGTCGAGCTCGAGCCCAAGTACTATCCGAAGCCGACCACAACGTCAGGCAAAACCTTCGCAGATCTGCACCAGTCCACCGAGGGATGTATTGCCGCCGTGATCGGTGCGCACCTGGAGAGCTCGAGGTGCGACTTTGAGTTTGCAGGTGACCTGTATAAGCTCGTCTTTGGCGAGGAGGCGGACGTGGAGGCGGACTGGAAACGGATCGTCGCTGCGCCTCTGTTCAAGAGCTGGATGGAGGGTCTCAAGAGGATGAAGGATGCTAAAGTCTGACGTGCCATATCCTTTACTTAGTCTGCCTCTTCTGTATTTGTACGTTAGTGAGACGAGTCTACCGGCAGAAACAGATCTGCGTTGACCATGAAGGTGTTACATCTGCTTCCGCACGGAATGTGTTCGCGGTGTGAGACGTTCCCTCTCGGCATTATACCACGTACGGACGCCAACGGGCGAGAATTGGACCAGCCCGCCTATGCTGCATGAGTAGCACTAACCCTGTATGGGAAGGAAGACCTTTGACTTGGAGGTCCCCTCAGGCAAACAAAAAGACGCGAAAAAGATGTTTGTGCGAGGGCCTGACCGGGAATTGAACCCGGGACCTCGCCCAGATTTCAAGCTTGCGCTTTCCCTAAGGGCGAATCATACTACTAGACCATCAGGCCGCGGATGAATTCGATTACGTCTTCAAGATATATGTACTTCCCAGCCTTACCAGTTCCGGGCTCACCGCTTGCTCGTCGCCCAGAGTATGGTTTGCGATGTCGGATGTCAGTTTCCAGTCTTCGAGAAGTTCCGGAAGAACGCTGAAGAGCATGGTAATTTTGCCATACCAGCTGCATGCAGGCCAAAGCTTCCAAGTCCACGACCTGTCCCTTGAGCATCATCCCCAGTCGCCGACCCTCCCCAGGCCCCCCTCCGGATCCCATTCCCAACGAGCAGCACTGACCTGCCTACCGGCTCATCCCAACACTCGTCCAGTGCAGCACTCATCAGCCGCCGTCCGAAAGCGTGCTGACGCGCTGATGCCCCAGCCGATAACATGGATACTGTACAGTAGACCGGGAGTCCGTCCGGTCGCAGCGCTGCCGCTGAGCCCAACGGCCTTCCGACCACTCTCGAGACACCACAGAGGGCGGTGCACAGGTCCGTTGTGCGCTTGGCGGGGAAGCGTCGAGCGTACGAAGTGAGTCTAGATGAGTTTGGGACAGCGATCATCACGAGGCGGTGTTAGCCAAGTGCTTCTACGATGATGATGATGATTTTCTCCTTCTGCAACCGCCCGTCTTTCGAGGAACGTTTCCATCTCCACGGTGCTAGATGCGGCTATCCAGCACAGCTCAACCCACCTGCTACACCATAACAGAAGCAGACAATACACCAGTTCTTCCCCAAGTAGCCACAAGCAGAGCGCGGTACAATGGCCCTTCCGCACCGCGCGAGTGACGGCGTCACCGGGGGGCTGACAGGTCGGCCCTGCCGGGCCGAGGGGCCTCAGGACGCGGCCGGCCGAGCGGACACGAGCGGGGGCGTGCGAATCCCGCTGTCACGCATCTGGTCGCTGCTGTCAACTGGGCGTCAAGGTGCTTGCTGGGCGTACGGACGGGAGATGGAATCGGGTCGGGTTTCGCGTGATCCTGGCTCCTCCCTCCCTCCTGCAAGGTGCGGTGGAAACACTACTGCGGGAGTGCTGGGCAGCGCGCGGGGATGAGGGTGCTCCGCCGCCGGAGTGCCAGGGCTGTGCGCGGGCGTGTGAGCGTGTCCGCGAGCGTAACGTCGGGCGGCGCGGGCGGGTTCGACGACCGGCGACGAGTCCGGCTTCGGATTGACGGTGGATGTTCTGTCTTTCTTTTCTTGACACTTTCCTTGACACCTTTCCAAGAATTTGCCAATAATTAGCAGTTGGCACGTTTTCCAAGCCTTTTTTTTTGTCTGCGAGGTGGACATGGTACGGTACAGTAGTTATGACGCATTATTGGCGTGTCTTGGGCTCATTTATTGGGCGCGAGGAGGTAATTCTTATTGTACTTTTTTTGGGAAGGCGGGATAGTGCTGTTTGCACGTTATTAGGAAAGGCTAGTGCTCACATAACGTGACATCTCAGTCCATTTGCGACAGGTCGCAGGTTGACAGCTCATTAGCTGGGGACGAGCGGGAATGGGCAGGATTGACGGTTGACGGTTGACGGTTGATGACGGTGATAGGTTTTATTGATGAGGTCTTCTCCGGGCATCGGGGTTTGCGGGAGGAATTATCTGAGGGGTGACCGTTGGAAGGAGGGAAGGGTTCGGCCGACGAGGTGCCGAGGAGGACGGATGCGGACAGAGGGGAGGACAACGGCTGCTCGACCTGGCCAGGGTGCAAGAGGAAAGATGGGGGGAAGACAAACACGGGGAGCTGCTTCTTCCAGGGATCGGGCGGTGTCGAAATGTATTCCGAAGGGAGATGAACTGCCAGTGATCGAGCGGCGATCGAGCGCGATCGAGGGATGATATTGATCTACTTGTTAACAGTAGTGTTACGGAATGTGCGGGAGGACGGGGGCATGACGACGACTTCGCGAATTCACGAGCGGTGAGAGTCATTCAATCAACTCACGACGGCGCGTCGAAAAGTCTCGCAGAAGGACGGACGTGTTGGAGCGTGCAGAAAGAAAGAAATGGGATGGCGATGGCGATGGGGCCGTACCGCTTTTCTCCACGCGCTGCGTGTGGTCTGCTTGCTTCGCCATTGAGGGAGACGCGCGTTCGTGCGCGGGGACCGTGGAGGTCACTGGAGGTTACGCGCAGTCGCGGAGGTCATACACCGCGGTGCGTGCGGCAGCGGTCGCCGTGGGACCGCCGGTAACCTCGCCGCCAGGACTGGACAATAAACTCGGACTGTACAGTTGTTAGGTCTGTGCGAATCCGGTTCTCACGCGCGGCGTCGCCCATCGCGGACGCCAAGTTCCAAGGTCTGGTTGTGTGGTTCCGAAGGCGGGTGCGTCGTGCGGCAGGGTGAGATGTGCTGCAAGGCGATGCAAACGGTGTTCTGCGAACTGACGGCGGACGGTGGGTGGATCGGGCCCCTTTTGGGCGAGACGCCGGCGGCGCGGTGCTCGGGGAAAGCGTGGACCGGCATCGTGAGCCGCTCGGGCACTGGGGGCGGTTTTGGAGCGGGAGCAGTCTGGGCCCGAGGGTGCGTGAGACCCTCCGCGGGTCTTGTGCTGTCTCGCGCTTCTGATCACGGTCCCTGACGCCACGGTGCCCCATGTGGGCAGCGCTGACCCGGGGCGAGTGAAGGCATCGGCGCATGGGGGCGGGGAACGACTGCCTGTCCTCGCGCATATACCCACCTCGAACGCTCCATCTCCATCTCCATCTCCATCTCCGTCTCTCTTTCTCCCCCTGCTACCCCTGCACTCTACTCCCTCCAAGCAGCGTAGGCGCAAGAAAGCAGCAAGCAGCCAGGATAGCGCGCTCGAGGTGTGTCACGCGCCCACCACCCACCGCCGCGCCGCAGGGACCCCCTCGGTCCGGCCAAACAGGCTCGCAGTCCACCCCCTTCCGATACACCGAGCCGCAAGCTCAACAACCGCGTTGTTAGACGGCATCCTCTCCACCCGCACCCCCGCTTGCGCTGAGAGGGGACGAGCGTGAACCTCTCCTTCCGCTGCGGCTCTCTCTCCAACGGTCCACATCGATAAGACGAAATAGCGACGATGGTGCGCTCCGAACTCCCCCCGCCAGTCGCTTCGACCTCCGCATCCCTGCCCACGCCAGTCCCCACGCCAACGACGTCCACACCCGGCTGCGGCCTGAGTAAGCGGCGCTCCTCCTCTCGCGGACGTTCCGGCAGCCCCAAGCGCCGATTCCCCCTCCCCGACACCGACACATGCGCCTCCTCGTCCACAGCCCCCTCCTACGAGCTCTGCGAGCGCACTTTGGTGCAGTACGACCAGCTCGGGGGCGGATCAGAGATCGACGCGCTCCTCCCCGAGCTGCGGCGCGCTGTCTCCTCGGGCTTGTACGTCAGCCGCGCCTGCACGTGGCAGGCTCTGCTCGGGCTCGCCCTCGCCTTCCGCTTCGACATGCATGACACTGTGGAGGACCTCGAGGAGGCCAGGGTGCTCATGGAGCGATGCGTGAGGGGGACGGAACTGCGCACGGGGGCGCACACGCAGGCGCTCTTTGCGCTCGGAAGGGTGTGGGAGGCCGCGTACCGGCACTGGGGGAGCACGGACGTGCTCGACCGGGCGTACAAGTGCATCATGGACGCGCGCGCGAATGCCGAGGCGGATTGCTCGGGCGACAGCGCGCGGTACGTCGATGGGCTGGATATGTTCCAGGGGTGGCTTTTGACCTGGCATATACCTGTCATTCGCGCCGGGGGGGATCTCACAGAGGCCATCGCGCTCGTTTCGGCCGGACTGGACAGGCTGAGCGATACAGATCCGTGGAAGGCACTCGGGTTGGGTATCCTCAGCCGCGCCTACCGCTGGCAGTGGCACCTCACTGGCTGCTCCGACTGGACATACCTATACAAGAGCGACGAGGAGGTGCGACGCGCGCTCGCGCTGCATCCGAACCACCGGCGGCGGCACTGTCTCCTCCACATGCTTGCCAGCACCTGCCAGGACCGGTTCGACGGGGGCGAGGGCATCCAGCACCTGCACGAAGCGCTGTCCGCTTCGCAGGAGAGCGTGCGCGGCGTGCTCAAGAAACGGCCCAAGGTCACCCGCTTTGAGGACAAGCAGGTTGTCCAGAGCCTGGCCATGGCATACTTCACGCTCTCGCGCGCCGAGGGCCGCCTGCAAGACCTCGACAAGGCGATCGAGTACCAGACGCTGATCAGCGAGACGAGCGGGCGGGACGAGCCCCCGAGCTTCTTCCTTAATCTCTGCATCTTCCTCTCCTTCCGCTTCCGGATCGCAGGCCGCCTGATCGACATAGACAAGGCGATCGAGGCCGGGCACCAGGCACTCGAGCGCACGCGGCCAGACTCCCTCCAGACCGAGCTCACCCTCTCCAACCTCGGCAACGCCCACGCCCTCCGCTTCGTGCACGGGGCGGACCAGGCCGACTTTGACGCGGCGTACAAGTACCTCGACAGCGCTGCGGCCCGCGTCCGCGCGAACAAGTGCACCATCGCCCTCCTGCCATGCATCACCCGCGCGCTCGCTAGCATACACGACATCCAGTTCGAGACGCACGCCCGGCTCGAGGACATCGACCTCGCCGTGCGGTACCAGCGCGAGTGCGTCGCCGTCGCCGGGGAGAACTTCGAGAAGCCCTCCTTCTACTCCGAGCTCGCGCGCTACCTCTCCAAACGGTACGAGGCGGGCGGGGACGAGGCCGACCTCAACGAGGCGATCATCAACCACGAGATTGCGCTCGCTACCGTCGCCGAGGGGCTCACGGAGCGCCACATGATCCTCTGGCGGTACGGCAACTCGCTCCGCCTCCGGTACAAGCTGCACCGCGATGCGCAGGACTTTGACAACTGCGCGCGCATCATGAAGGAGGCTGCCGTCCTCGCCCGGTCCGCCGTGCACCCCAAGACGTCCCAGTACCTCGGCGAGCTGGGCAGCCTCTTTCACATGCGGCACGACGCGCAGGCCGACGTCGAGGACCTCAACCTCTCCCTGCGGTACTACGCCGTGTCGTACGCCGTGCCCGAGGGGTTC